AATTGGACTTTGGATCAGGCCCTGGTAAGGTGTCATGTGTGTACAAGCTTGTTTCGTGCTCTGGCATTATGAAAATACTGAGTGAAGTTTCACTTGTTTAACACTGAATGTAGCTGACAGGAACAACAGCCCTGCTACATGCTGAAGGACTGTAACTATTTTCTCTCTAACTCTTGCTGTTACAGAAAAACATTTGTATTCATTTTTTGTTGTTTTATTCTGCTTCTTGAATGGACAGATCGCAGCATTTGCTCTGTTTGACTCTTCTTTAGCAGACATTTCCCAAGTGGGAACAGACAGACAGTGTTTTCTGGTGAATGCTCAGATTAGGTAACATAAAGTTAAAACGTTTGGCCATTTCTTCTCTAGAAGAGTCATGTCTGAATCCCTGACGTAACCCTCAGAGTACTGACACATTTGCAGAACCTATTCACTGCGATTCTTGCCCACTTTAAAAGTAGATTGTGTACGAATACAAATGATTATATATATTAAAAAAAAAATCTATTTTAACAAAGTTGGCAACAGTAAAAATAGCTCATGTACGAGGAATTACAGAATCTATACTAATCTCCCACAAACTTTTCCAGATTCTAGAAGTTTGTTTATTTTACTCAGTGTACAGTGAAAACCTTTGCTGTTAAATTTTGCACATGTTGGAAGGCTTTTCTTTAAAGATGTCTCAGTCAGTGAAATACCTTCCATGTTTAGGGGAGGCGAGTCTAAAAGTAGCGCAGCCTGCTGTGTCTATAGGACATGCACATGCCCTTTATATATAATTTATGCTGACTGTAAAGGTATTAAATTGTAGCTGCGGTGGTATTGTGAAGCTGCGTTGAAGTACTTGTGACGTATAGCAGAGGTCAGTTCTAAGAGCAGTAGAACATATCACTGTCGTACTCAACAAGCTGAATGTGATTTGGGCGGGGCTGTCAGTCACACGGGTAAATGCCACATTCCTTTGTTTCGGTTTGGTTTTCTGAGGTAGAGAAAACACTTCTGGTTCCCTTGGGCAGCGGTCTGGAGGCATGGGAGCATCGGCGCTCAGTACGTCAGGGCCGCCTTGTGCCTCTGAGCAGTGACCCCTCTGGCTGATGTAATAATGTCACTTACATGCTTTTCTGTACAAAGGAAGTATACCACATATGCGCGCCATATCAAGGCCAAGCTGCCAAGAGCAAAGAGGAACAACGTTGATATTTAGTTTCACAAGTAAAAGCATCTGACATCAGCCCAGGCACAGTTTGAAGGCCAGTTCTTTTCTTGCTTTCTTTTCCAGACTAGTAGAGCAAGACGAATTCAAACACACAAGTAGCAGCAAGAAATCTCATGTGTAAGAAAATGGCAGAGAAATCAGATGGCATGATTACTGAAGATTAACTTTCTTCATTATGGAAGCTAATCTTGCCATTGAAACCACACAATATTTTTTGACAACAAGATTTTAATAGATTCAACTATTATCTTTTTTCCCCCCCTATATATACAGGAAATGCTACATCAATATATATATATTTTAATTAGATGGAATCAACAACCTAAAAACACAGGCTGGTGGGAAGTAAGCATGGAACTGGCAAGAAAAACATTTTATTTTACACTGGGTAATTGTAATAAACCAACTGATCTGGTCAGCCCCTACTACTACAATAATTATTTCCATCTAATTTTTACAGGATTAGCCAACCTAGTCTGCTAAGTAAGCCCCATCTAATTTCATCTCATGTGGTAGCTAAAATACGGTAGTTTTATCAACAAAAAGTTAAAGCTTGAGGCTTCTGAGGAAAAAGGAAGGTCTCCTTACAAATAGTTTGGGTTTTAAATACATACTTTCAATTTGGGAGGTGAAATGAAACATATCCCACCCATAACTTTTCTAACAGGGAAAAAAAAAAAAAAAAAGCTTTGCTTCAGGCACACTAACTGTAAAACAAGTGCTGGGGGAGGGGGAGGGGGGGGAAGGAATAATAATATGCATTTTTATAATGCAATGAGAACTCAATGATTTAAAATGCAGCGCTAAATTAAGTCCTGGCAGTAGACAGAGTCAAAGTCAGCACTAAACACCTGCAGAGGGCTCAGTTTGTATAACAATAATATCTCCCAAACTTTATTTGTCTCTTGTACTGCCTGTGAATACAGATCCTTTCACTCTATTGCCAGCTGCAGTGTAAAACTACCTTGGGCTATAATCCTAGTTCGTTGACAATTTTATGCTGCAGCAGGTGCTCTGGAGATGCCTCACCCCCACCCCACCCCAGCTGCTATCACTCTTTTTAGCCAGCTTCGCTATTTTTCCAAAGGGCTGGAAAAGAGCAAACGGTAATAACAGCCAGAGAAGGAAAAAGGAGAAACAGATAATGGTTTGTGTCAACAAAGGCACCATGTGGTAAAAAGCAGGAGCTCCCCACTACAGCTAAATTAACTTTAGTTACATACGCCGCTGCGACGGGAATATATTTTTGTTTTTTTTTTTTAACCTGAGGCAATGTCACTTAACAGTAGAAATTTGCTAAGCTAACTGAAGTGGGAGCGAACGTGCAGGAACTGAGAAGGGGCACCCAGCTCCCAACGGGGCGACCTCGTGTCCGGTGGAAAACTACCGGGTTTCTGGAATCTCGTCACAGCTCATTCTAGAAGGAACCTCACTAAAAGATCTCGAGGAAACGTAAGCAGGGGAAAATCTCAGTGTTTTCCCGCTGACAAGCCCTCTCTACAGGAGTTTCTGTGAGGACAGTGGGGCTTACAATCGAGATTGTGAACTGTTCACCATGTTCCTCTTTCTTTCCAGTTTCTACCTCTTTCCTACCAGCCAGCTGGCAACGCCCGGTGGTCCTAACGTAAACCCACCTCCGCAAGACGCAGCCTCCTTCATCGCCCGTGAAGGCATAGCGCCGATTTAAGAGCCGCAAACCAGACCTCCAGCGGGTTCAGCCCCCCACGGAGGAACGTGGCTTTTTCACCCGCTGCACTCGCAGCGCCGAAGGACTGATGGCTCTCCTGAGGAATTCACGTTCAGCGTGTGCCTAAGGAGGCGACACCTCACTCGCCATAAACCTTCGGGAGCCAGATTAGCGTCAGACTGGGAATATTCAAACGCTAACACCGAAACCCGGGTTGGGAGGGAGGCGGGGGGCGCAGGCCCCGGGGGGGAGGGGGCCCAGGCCGCGACCCTGAGGAGCCCA